TAGAAGCTAGACTAGATGGACAGAACCTAGGAGAGTGTAAATGAAGGCATGTACATCCAAAGATGCTCTCTTGGCAATGCATTTATTAGATGTTTTACCAGATTATTTTGATTATTAAAACATTTTCAGGCAATGGGTCTTGGAATGTCTTGGGATGCACACACCCTAAATAATAATGTAACCAAAAGGGAGGTAGCTCAAAGACCAAGGCTGAGTCATATTACTCAGATTCAGACTATGGAAATCCGTAGTTTGACACCATTTTGTACTTTTGTGGGGTTGTGGCTGGGAAGGTGTTAGATACAGTATTTCACTGTATGTATTTTTTGTGAAGATATAATTGAAACTTAGTTTCTCTAATTATAATTTCAGACTCTGGCAAAGTCTGAAGATAGAGTAGCTATATAATGGTTTATTTATTTATTCTATTTTATTTTTTATCTTGTTACACCAGTAACATAATCATCTAGCATTTAGAATATTATCATCACTGACTATGTCAGCTAAATGAGAATGTGAATGTGAGGCTTGTCTGAGTGTTATCGCTCAAGTCGATTACAGCAGATGATAAAGTATGAAGCTGTCAGCATGAACTCGATGTTATAAGCAAGGTTAAGCACAGGTATTTTACATGATAAAATATTGGTTTGACTTTTTTTTTTTTTCTCTCTCCTCCTTTCTTTTTTTTTCTTTTCTTTTTTTCTTTAAAATATTTTGTTTTGAAGTATCATAATTCAAGGGGATACTTGTAAGCTTTAGACAACTGTTGCAGTTTTGGAAAGATTTTTTTCTTCTTTTCTTGACTGATTCCCACACCCTGTATCATGGGGAAGGTGATAAGATTAAATTTCTTGATAACCTTTATCGTTGCAGTGTGGTTATAAACTTCATAATGCTGTTTTGCAAGAAATGTTGATAATATTGAGCTATCAATTTGAAGGTAATACAGCCAGGATTGAAAAGCATGCAAGTAATAATGGTAAGGAAAAGTTCCCAAAATGGAAGGCTGTCATATACCAAATTATGTTGGTGATAACGGTTTGAGAAGTTTCAAGATAAAAAGATAGCAAGTCATTAAAAGACAACGGCAGAGAGGACCCACCTGTTGCCTTCATAAAAGAC